GAACAATCTGAACTAGTGCGCTCCCCTATGTACTTGGTGTCTAATGGTAGATAGGTACACTTGGAGGGCATTAGCTCAGGCAGTTCTGCCACATTATACTTTTATTACTCATGGATGCACCCTGCATTCTGGATTTGTGGTAGATCGCGAGGGTGATAGCTCTGTTGAGTCCTTTGTAGTCCACCTCCCATCTATACGCCAAGTAGGATGCGGTTGCGATGGAAAGCATTCACTGTTGGTGTCTTTCCTTAATAATGTCCTCAATTAAATAGTAGAAGACATAGCTTACTCAAGTTAGAATTAGAAAACCTTAGCGGTCCTATCTATGCTCCTGTTTATCCTTAGCCTTATTGCTATCCCTAGTTAAGTTAGATGATAGTTAGTCTCACACGTTTTTCTATGGATACAATACTTAGAATACTCCTAGCTGAAAGCTACAGTGGTATCCATGTGCTTGCAGAATAATCTATTTGCGTTTAAAATATACCAACAACCCTAGAATCTCGTGAAGAGCTTCCAAGATCGGATCTGCTGCCGTAGGTGTTGGTACGATAGAGGCTAGATTTTCCTACACCGCCTCCACGATCTCCCCTTCGCCATCGGCATTGATCACGCAGGTCATAGATCCAATCGTGAAAGACTCACCTGGCTAGGGGGAGTACGCAGAGCTTGGAAATCGCACCATCTAGTTCGCTGTGAGATCAGCACGCCCCCCTTCCTAGCGCGCCAACTTCGATGAAATATGGTCGATAGTCCACCGAGGTGTATACCCATGATGGTAACTTGTGTAGTGGAGGTGCGCGTGATCAGGAACCGGATGATAACACAGGCGTAGAGACACGAGGCTTAGACAGGTTCAGGCCATCAATGCGACGTAAAATCCTACGTCCTGTGTTCTGGTGGATTGTATTGGTTGTGAATGAGATGAGATGAGTTTGAGGGGGTCCCCTACCCGCCTTATATAGATGGGGGTAGGGTTTACAGTTCAGTTAAATCTAAATCTACTCGGTAAAATGATAAGCATTACATGGAATACAATATCTCGCATATCCGATTAGATCTATCTCTATCTTTAAGATATCTTCCATAAGCCTTGTGGTGCACGTCGACCAGTGCCGTACGTCGCGCGCCTTGATCTTGTGGGCTAGACCACCCCTGATGGTGTGGCTGATGTCTCCCGCTTGGGTATCTGGGGTTACACACCCCATAGACATTGAACCGATGGAGGATGGTGGTTAGCGATCTGCACTCGATGCCAAAGGTGCTCTAGCGGCAAGGGTTAGCGACATGCGGCGTCGGTGAGGGCTGTATGAGCTGGAGTTCGCTAATACAAATAGATGCTGTAAACGGGGAATTAGGGAGTCGGAAAAAGCGGCGCCAGCGCTCCCTCTCGCCGACTAAGCTCTCTCTTCTCTCTTTTACGGGCGGAGTTTACAAGATTTGGTCCAACATCTAGAGCCGGGCCGGATACATTATACTATATAATGGTGATTTTGGGCCACGCCTAGGTCCCCCAAATCCGCCCTTGTACATCTGCACCAGCTGAAATACTTGAAAAATACACTTGTAACATGTGTTTGAAAACAGCTTAAACATTTCAAACATACAATTGCAACATATGTGTATAGCTACTGCAACATGTGCATCATTTATATGAAACATCTAAAATACTTGAAACAAACTCTTGCAACATGCGCTTTTAGCGCAATGTCATCTTGCTGCTTGGACGAATGGAGGCTCGTCATTGCGGAGCTCGACGCCGACTCGGAGGTCGGCGACGGCGCATGGAGCTCCTCGACACTGCAACGGCGCGAGCAACTCGCCGACGGGGCGGCATCACACGAAGCTCCTCCACTCGTCTGCTTTGCTGGAGCATCGGTCGTGGAGGCTCTTCGTCGGCTCGGTGGAGGCAGCCGTGTCTAGCGGGCAGCGCGGTGGAGGCGGCCACGGCGAGCGGATGCTGCGGTGCAGGCGTGCTGCGTGGTGGAGCGCGGGGTGGGGAAGGTAGGCAACGCGATGGACGCGGAGCGCATTAGAGAGATTTTCATTTTTTCGCAAGAGGTGAGGATAGGAGCGAGCGGACGTCACGGTAGCAAGTGGGAAGCCGTGTCCATCCTTGCAGACGCTTTCACGAGAGCATAACTGAATTCTATGCCGTACTAGCTATTTAGGTACTAGTACGAAATATAAATTACAATGCGGTTAAAATCCAGCACGTTACTTAACTATTGAGTTTCATTCCAATATTTCCTTGGAGCTTCTCACATGCGATATACTTTGTATGTATGCCGTTTTTTTAAATTATACAGTACAACGTAGACGTCTACAACACGCACGCATACTCATCTCTATAAACACACGTATATAAATCATACCCCTACGAACACATCCGAAGAACTGAGTCGGCAAATCTCGAGATTCACAAAGTCACCACAAGCATCTCGCTATCAAAGGGGACGTGCCTACCACTGAAAACATATATATAGCGCCGTAATATCTAAAATAAATTTAGAAAAATATGAGCATGTCGAGTCAAACTTAAATGCGGGTGGACGCCTAGCCACAGTTGTACGTAGTCCTGCTTTGGTTTCATAATTAGCCCGGAGTCATGAGAGCCTCCGGTCATCGGCAGCGTCCCACGTGGTGCCCGTGGCCTACGACACCGCGCATTGATGGAGCTGGAATCCCTCGCGAGTAGAGACAGGGTTGCCAATTCAATGGCTATCACATTCCCAGGGGCACCAAAGTACCAGTGAATGCGTTTGCGATCTCCAGGGATTCCACGAAGGTTCGAGAATAGCGATGTCGATTGCCTGTTCGAGAGGCCGTATCGTATCGTGGATTATTTACTGCTGGCTGGTTTGGTATGAGAGAAAAACACTGTTCTCGGCTGGAAATTTACGATCATTTACGAACAAGCGAACAGACTGGTACAAGGGGACAGATTTCGAGTTCACGCCCTTGGGAGCTGGTCGTCCATGCTTACACTTTGGAGATTGCATTATTGGAAAACATTCTTTACCACTTTGACCAGCGCCGGTCCTGAGTTTTTCTAGGTCGAGAACTAATATAAGCCCTATTCGGCAAGCCCTATTCGGTTTGCTGAATCTTGATTGAAATTGGCTGAAAAATACTGTTCTGGTTAAAATGTTGTGAGAGAAAAACATTATTTCGGTTGAAAAAAGAAGCCGAACAAGCTGGATATTAGTCCACTTTTAAAAAATATTTTATACATTTCTCTCTCTTTATATAGTCTCACAAATACACACAGCGCGGATGTGGTATCTCAGGGGTGATGTACCCATCCTATTGATGATCGTCGATCTGCACATGGAGATTCGGGCGGATACTAATGACGGCATGACAAAACGAGGCATTAGCTGACGTGGATCAGAGTTTTAGCAAGGTGAGCTCTGTAGCTCCCAAGAGGCCGTGTACGCGTAGCAAAAATAGGAGAAATAACTATTCGGGAGCAGTGATGCCTCGGATGCTCTGTTTCTGTTGTCCGGTCTAGTCAGAGAAACATGGGAAACACTGGGGTTGAGTCGCCATGAGAATGCCGGCTCCTTCGGAGCTACAGTGTGTGCAAATCTGCGACCGAGTTAGGGTTGGTGCATCACACCCCATAGCTACGGCAGATTTAGGGTTCCTGGTTGATACCTGATCTCTTCCTCCTTTCGGATTCTTATATAGTAGTTCTTCAGCCTGCACCCTGCAGTATTGTCTGAAACTCTACGAGTGGTAAGGGCGAATCTAAATATTGTTCCCCAAGACCGGATGGATGAAGGATCAATCTATACGTAGTTCTTCAGCGGCTCGTCTGCGGAAGGAAGGTTAGCTAAGATGCTTTAGTTTCAATCTGTGGTTCTTTGGAATAGATGGGGATGTCATGTTATTTTCGCAACCCTAAGCCTGGCAACATGGATGAATTTCTTATGTCAGTTCGAATTTCTCCACGATTGCAGGTTCTCGTCGGAAAGGGAAGGTGGGTACAAACATAGAGATCGATGGCAACGGTGATATTCGACGCCAAGGCCTTCCTGTCTTTATTGTTAATCAGCGAGCAGCCAACGCAGAACAACAAGCATCACGCCGGATTACCAGGCAAACTGTCGCTGAGGTCAATGATTTTTTTGCTGTCTGGACAAAGCATCATGTGTACCTTTAGACATGACTGAACTGTCTTCCAACAATATGCATTACATGCATGTTACGCTAGCATGTTTCTCTGGATTAACCATATGAATCTCTAAATCATTTGTCCAATGTAGCGCCAATCGTTGTGTGAGAGTTCGGCTGGCCCAACGGTGGCGCGCACTACATATGGTTTGCACTCTCACTCCTTTGAGTGCTAGTCATAACAGCACAAAATATATCCATAAAATATGGCTTGGCCCACTTAGCCCTGTGCTTGAATATTCTCTTCATGAACTTATTGTCAACAAGATTGTACTTGCGCATTAGCTGCCTCCACTTCCTTTCAAACCTAAGGCTATGTTTAGCTGGGCGAAATGTGAGAATTTGGCTACGGTAGCACTTTTGTTTTTATTTGGCAATTAATGTTTAATCATGTACTAATTAGGCTCAAAACGTTCATCTCGCGATTTCCAATCAAACTGTGCAATTAGTTTTTTTTTCGTCTACATTTAATGCTCCATACACATATCGTAAGATTCAATTTGATGGCTACTGTAGCATTTTTTGAAAAACTTTTTTTTGAACTAAACATGGCCTAAGTACCATTGTTTCTTCGGTGACAACTTTGTTGAATTCTTTCTTAAAGTTGCTTTTCTTGCTGTAGGTAGGACCAACTTTTTGCTTGGTCTTCCTCAAAACGTGCCATCGACACCACCGGTGATTAGTCGCCTTCAATGTGGTTTTTATGGCTGCAGCCATTGCTTGGCACTGATCTGAAAATGTAAATAGACTACATTAAAATTCACAAAAAAAACAAATGGGTAATAAGTGACATGAAACAGACAGAAAAAAAGGACATTAAATCACATATGACGAGATTCGGAAGAGCAACCTGTGAGTATAGTGTGGGGTTCCTTGCCACCCATTATTTCTACAAACTTGCTGAAAGCCCACTCAAAATCCTCAACCTTCTCGGTTGTCAGCAATACCCCACCAAGCACAATGGACTGAAAGTGGTTATTAACACCAACAAAAAGTCCAAATGGGAGGTTATATAAATTCGTGCGATAGGTAGTATCAAATGTCACCACATCACCGAACTTTGCGTAGTCAGCCCTGTTCTTTCCAGTGCACCAGAGCATCAATTTAATCTTACCATCTTCATGAAGTTTAAAGCTGATTTCCATGCCAACATCATTCCTTTTCATCTGCTCAAGAAGGCCCAATGTCTTCCCTATGTCGTCCTTAATATTATCCTGGACAATTCTAGCGCAAAGAGATCTTACCGCCTCTTTCCTTACAGGAATTTCTGATCGAGTACCGTGAACCCTTAGAATGCTGCAAACCCTCCCTATAGGAATATTATTTTCACGGAGCTTCTGAACATCCTTGGTCATAGGATCAATGTCTCTGTGTGAGAGCCACTGTTTGTTCTGCCCATGGGTAGCAGAACAAGGATGATTGTGTTGCAGGTGCAACCGAGAAATAACCAATCCATGATCACCGGTGCGATGAAGCCTGATCATGGCTTTGCAACCAGTCCTGCAGGTTGCAGCCCTGCTGTTAGGACAGAGGCCCTGGATAGCAGTTAGGAAAAAATACTCAGGACAACTTCCATTTCATTTTTGAATACTAAAATTGTAAAAGTTATGTAGTCAGTACTAAAAATACCTCACATGAGCATACAAAATCCTGCCTCGTTGTGAAATTGTTGTCATTCACTCTGTTTCGACCTTTTCTAATGCCCAATCCAATTTCCCAAGAATATAGGTTGTAGAAGTCTTTTGCTTCTTTTGCGGAGTTGAACTCCATGCCAACAGCAGGTAGGAAAACAGGTTCACCAGGGCGACTGGAGGACGTTCGCATAGCCTGAGTAATAGCACTTTCTTCCATGGCTGAAATCCTGGCTTCAGGGCCGTGCTTACCTCTCTTGCTGAAATTGAACAAGATATATACTATCCAGGAAAAATTGAAAAGTACAAGAAAAAATGAAGCCAGATATGTGTTATTTGCCGCAGAGTTGAATGATAATTTGCAAAAACAGCGAAGGGAGGCTTGAGGGTATAGGGGGAGGTTGGAGGGAAATAGAAAAACACAACCAACATTTGGAATTTTCAGCCCTATACTCAACCTGAACGCGGATTGGTGTGTTCAAAATAAAAAATATTCATCTTGGAAAACAGATTTATACCTTGAAAGCTCAATACAATAAATAGCATCACTAACCAAACTTTGCAAAACGGCCCCTAAAAGTACGAAGTGTGCCACATCGAGCAGATGATTAAAATCAAAGTAAGAAAAAAACAGAGACTGGTTTCTACTGGAATGATGCTGAATAGTGCGCGAGGAGTAGAAATCAATGGAAAACATTATGTAATTGTTGGTCTTGATTTGGTTACCTCTTGAGCAGATTGGGATTTTCCATGTGTTGGATCGATGCTGGAGCAGAATCTAAAGAAAACAAAGCACAGAATGAATGGCGGAATCATTAGATGATGTCAATCCATACGAATTCGAGATCGGCGAAATTCTTCTTTACCTGCGATTCGCAAATCAGGAAGACTCTGCATCTGACTCATCTGTTCCAACCGGATTAACGAATGGCGAACCGGTTGCGATTCGTCGGCACATACTGCCATCTGGTCTGCACTAGAAGAACTCATGTACGAGGCTATGATATGGATCTGACTCTTCAGATCAAAGGAAGGAGATGAATGGACATAGTAAGCTTCGGGAGTATGCTTATATAATGCGGAACAGCAGAGTTGGCCTGTTGAAATTGAAATTTCGAATGGCGCACCCACATCCCGCCACACGGGTTTTCGCATAGCCACGTCCCCTGACCACGACATCAACACCAACGATACATCCACGCCGACACGAGTACTAGTTTCTAGTCCTATTACTCGCGTCTGTGCTTATCACATTAATCATCAAGTAAGTTCACTCTTGAGTTTCTGTCCATCATATTTAGACCACGGAGACACGTGCACTCTTGTTTTGGTTAGAAACCAGGGAGAGGACCGAAAGGGACAAGGATTCGCGGAGGCTGAATTCAGACTCCAGGACAACTTCAACTTGTGATGGTCACCACGGTCGCATACGGATTCGGATTGGGACGTTCAAGTACTTCATGGAATCCTTATGAAGTCTATTTTCATATGGATCCAGAATCAAGTCCATATCTGTTTTGAGCCGGTCGCAATGATTGAATTACGACTGAGAGCTTGTCTATCCAAAGATGCTGCGTCACCTTAGTTTGGTCCAATGAGCCGTGTATCAAGTTGAGTCCATTAGGGACGCGTCCTAGGGTTGGAGAATGACCCCAACACCCTGGTGGTCGCCCTTCTACCTTTATATACTCCTTAGCCGCCACTAAGAATAGTTGAGTTTTGTTTAGATCAAGTTTAGCTCTCGCTACTTGCTTGTAAGCGCGCGTGCTGGATCAGCCATCCGTCTTCTTGTCTTCGGAACCCCACCTTAATTGAGATTGAGTTTGAAACTTTCATCTACATCTAGTAATTCAGTACTTGCTATACTTGTTCTTGCTAGTTCTTCGATTGCTTGTAGGACGAGTGCCCTGGTGGCCGGTGACGCGCTCCACAAGATCGCGGCAGCTGTTGGAGGTGGTGTATCGGTTGCTAAGGTGCAGCTTGGAAGGCTGTAGTCGGGCCGTGAACGTCGTCTCCACCCATCAATCGAGTTATCCCACAACTTTCATCGAAAGATCAGGAACAAACCCTAGCAGGATCATATCAGTTGGTATCAGAGCAAGGGTTATCGGTGAGAGACTTCAAATCATTCGCTGTTTTTTAATTTTTCCTATAGTCCAGAAAAGCAAAAAAAAAATAGTAGATTAGTTTACCCATAATCCTGTAAACCCTTTGAGCCTTTGCTAGCACTGCTTAGTTAGGGCTTGTTCAGTCGTCGGCTACATCAGTTGTGTCGAGTTGCTGGTCTTAGTTTTTGTCCTTTAGAGTTTCGAGTTCTTGTCACGTTCTAGTCACAGCCGTGTGCTAACATATAAACCTTCTGTTGGCTGAATCCGAATACATCCTTGTGTTCAAGACCGAGTAGGAATCTGAGTTTGAGACCGAATCCCACGTGGTGTTGAGTTCGAGTTGGAATCGGTTTTTAGTCCGATTTGACAGCTGCCTGGTTGCTATTGTGAGACCGAATCTGAGTACATCTTTATGCAGTAGTAGTCCTACTTATACTCAAACTCTCCACGTCCTGCATATACGTTTTGGCTCAGTTTTACTCTAGAGAGAGAGAGGGTATCTTTTTTTACCGGAATATCCCTGTCCTTTGGAAAAAGTTTGTGTGGTGTGTGACTCATGTGAAGTCTTTTTGTTTATATAATCAGTTTTGAGGATCCCCTGAAAAAAAGAAAAAAAAGAAAAAAAATAGGAAAAAAGAAAAAAAGGGGGCTTTTCGTTGTGCTTCTCCATTGTTTTCGGTGGTGTGTTGTGACCTCCTTTGTGCCCAGGCTCGCGCCTCTAGCACGGTCTAGGCTAGGACCAGCACAGTACCACTGTTGAACGATTATTCAGCTTGTTTTTGTGACTAACGTGGTGCTAGTACTTCCTTGCTTCAGCCCATCTATAGCTCCACATATTTCGACTACAGCTTGATAGGTGTTGTTGTTGCGGCACTGATACACTTTATTTCACGGTTGCAGACTTGTTGGTTGCCGTTCCCTCCTGTTGAGCAAGGTAAGAATTGGTAAGAGCTTTTGTAACAGGTTGAGAGTGAGCGCCTTGCAGTAGCTACATCCTAATAGCTATAGGGCTTTTATTTCTTCACCTGTTTTTTTGTTGCCCTTGTCTTTTAAACCATGTCAGGATCAGAGGATGTTAACAAGAGGCCACAATCTCCTCGCACCAAGGGCATCATTCAACATTTTATAAGGCAAGTGCAGCTGCATACAGAAGGACTTGATAAAGATTTACAGGTGACCAATGACAAGATTGGGCAATTGGAGGCCACCCAACTTGCCACCACCACCAAGCTTACAGGATTGGAGGCATCTGTTGCTCGTATGGACAGAAGCCTTGCTGCTCTCTGAAGCGTTTTGATGACTTCCACACGAAAGACAAAGAGCAGCATAATGAAGACAACAAGGACGAAGAGCGACTCAAAGATAATTATGATGATGATTATACTGCTGATACTGAACATGATGCTCATAACACTCGTGACCGGCGTCGCCTACGTCATAATCGTAGAGGTATGGGTGGTCACCGTCGACGTGAGGTACTCAATAATAATGATGCTTTTAGTAAGATAAAATTTAAGATACCTCCTTTTGATGGTAAATATGATCCTGATGCATACATTACTTGGGAAATTGCTGTTGATCAAAAGTTACATGTCATGAATTTCCTGAGAATACACGTGTTAGGGCTGCTACTAGTGAGTTTACTGATTTTGCTACTATTTGGTGGATAGAATATGGCAAGAAAAATCCTAATAACATACCACGAACTTGGAATGCTTTGAAATGAATCATGAGGGCCAGATTTGTTCCTTCTTACTATGCACGTGATTTGTTAAATAAATTGCAACAACTGAGACAGGGTGCTAAAAGTGTAGAAGAATATTATCAAGAATTACAAATGGGTATGTTGCGTTGTAATTTAGATGAAGATGAGGAACCTGCTATGGCAAGATTCTTGGGTGGGTTAAATCATGAAATTCAGGACATCCTTGCGTATAAAGAATACACTAACGTAACTCGTTTGTTTCATCTTGCTTGTAAAGCTTAAAGGGAAGTGCAGGGGCGACGTGCCAGTGCCAAGAATAATATTTCTGCAGGGAAAACTAATTCATGGCAGCCCCACATGACTACTACTCCAACTACACGTGCTCCTATGCCATCATCCAGCGACAAACCTCGTGCTACTTCCGCAAATTCAGTGGCGAAGACGACCCAGAAGCCTGCTGCGAGTGCTTCATCCATGGCATCTACAGGTAGAACAAGAGACGTTCAGTGTCACCGGTGCAAGGGATATGGACATGTGATGCGTGACTGTCCAAGCAAGCGTGTTATGGTCGTCAAAGATGATGGTGACTATTCCTCTGCTAGTGATTTTGATGAAGATACACTTGTTTTGCTTGCTGCTAACCATGTAGGAAGTGAGGAACAACTAGAAGAGCAGATTGGAGCAGATGATGCAGATCATTATGAGAGCCTCATTGTGTAGCGTGTGCTTAGCGCACAAATGGAGAAGGCGGAGCAAAATCAGCGGCATACACTGTTCCAAACAAAGTGTGTCATTAAAAAGCATTCATGCCGTTTGATAATTGATGGAGGTAGCTGCAACAACTTAGCTAGCAACGATATGGTAGAGAAGCTTGCACTTACAACCAAACCGCACCCACATTCTTATCACATTCGATGGCTCAACAATAGTGGTAAGGTTAAGGTAACGAGATTGGTACGAATTCATTTTGCTATTGGATCATATCATGATGTTGTTGAGTGTGATGTTGTGCCTATGGAAGCTTGTCATATTCTGCTAGGTAGACCATGGCAATTTGATACAGATTCTATGCATCATGGTAGATCAAATATGTATTCTCTCATACACCATGATAAGAAAATTGTTTTGCTTCCTATGACTCTTGAAGCTATTGTGCGTGATGATGTTGCTAAAGCTAAGAAAACTAAATCTGAGATCGATAAAAATGACAAATCTGTTAGTAGTAACAAAGATGAGATAAGATTGAAAGGATATTGCTTGCTTGCTACTAAATCTGATATTAATGAATTGGTTGCTTCCACTTCTGTTGTCTATGCTTTGGTATGCAAGGGTGCTTTGATTTCAGTTCACGATATGCAGCATTCTTTGCCCCCTGCTGTTGCTAACATTTTGCAGGAGTTTTCAAATGTTTTTCCAAGTGAAATACCAGCGGGGCTGCCACCAATACGAGGGATTGAGCACCAAATTGATCTTATTCCTGGTGCATCTTTGCCAAACCGTGCGCATACAGGATTAATCCGAAAGAAATGAAGGAAATTCAGCGACAAGTGCAAGAACTACTCGACAAAGGTTATGTGCGTGAGTCCCTTAGTCCTTGTGCTGTTCCTATCATTTTAGTGCCTAAGAAAGATGGAACATGGCGTATGTGTGTTGATTGTAGAGCTATTAATAATATCACCATTCGATATCGACACCCTATTCCACGATTGGATGATATGCTTGATGAACTGAGTGGTGCTATTGTGTTTTCCAAAGTTGATTTGCGAAATGGGTACCACCAGATTCGTATGAAATTGGGAGACGAATGAAAAACTGCTTTCAAAACTAAATTTGGTTTATATGAGTGGTTAGTCATGCCTTTTGGGTTAACTAATGCACATAGTACCTTTATGAGGTTAATGAACGAGATTCTGTGTGCTTTCATTGGAAAATTTGTTGTAGTCTACTTTGATGATATATTGATTTACAACAAATCTATGGATGAACATCTTTATCACTTACGTGCTGTTTTTAATGCTTTACGAGATGCACGTTTATTTGGTAACCTTGAGAAGTGCACCTTTTGCACCGATCGAGTGTCTTTTCTTGGCTATGTTGTGACTCCACAGGGAATTGAGGTTGATCAAGCCAAGGTAGAAGCTATATAAGGATGG